GAGGAAGAGGAAGAGGATGGAGATAGTGGAAAATGATGTGGAAGAAAGAGAAATGATGTGTCAAAAGGAGAGAATGAGAGAGAAGAATTAAGGGGATTCATAAATCCCCACCATTGTGCATGCTCTTAAGCACATACAAAATTAAAAGGGTCACATCATATTTCGGGGATGTTTTGTGCCACTGTGATAAAATACGACAAAATTGAATGGGTCAGACCATGTTTCGAGAGTGGTACAAAACGGGGGGGGGGGGGTTTGTACCTCCGTTACAAAAGTGGTACAAGTTTATATCCATCCTGAACAATTTCGTATGTTCGTATCTAAAGTGGTACAAAAATCACCCAACTGTATAGGTAAACATAATGTTTTAGGTAATCATAATGCTTTAGGACAAATATGGAGATTATTTGTAATCGGTTATTTTAGGTAATCATAATGTTTTGCTACAAATGAACTGTGATTTGTGGACTAATGCGATTAGTTTACTAATAATAATAATCCGGACCTATGAGATCACACATACGAGTATATGTGAAGAGTTGCGATGTTTACTATAAATATGACTAAGTGAGATAAATTAAATCATACGAGTACGTTTTTTCACAGATCATATATTATAAAGTGAAGAGTGAGTAAGAAATTGGGTTTAACTCGTTTAAGTAATTGGGTGTAAGTAATAAATTGGGTTGAGTAGGAGTGTGAAGTTGAAAGGGTGAAGTGAGTGAAAAGGTTTGATTTGAAAATTCAATGGGAGGATTAGTAAGTGGATTACCCACTTGTCTTTTCTATGCAGTAATGATGGAAAACATGTGGCTTTTCTAAAATGTGGCTTTTCAACTAAAATTGCTTCGTTTATTGTGTTTTATATAATTATCAATTCTCGACAAACGAAGCCAAATTTATCACGGTTCTCCATTTCTCTGCACAGAAGGATACTAAGCTCATCCGTCACTGTTGTGCAGAGAAAATTGGCCAACAGCAGTCCTAATGACTTGCTTGCAAATGTCTCAGACACTTTGGCATTGAGTTGTCATTGTCAACAATATTTGAATCACTAGGAAAGTAGGAAGTGTGTAAATGTCATTGTCAAAAAAAGTATGTTATTATTGAAATAAAATTATAAAGAAATAACATTGTTGAAATAAAATTATGTTATTTCTTTATAATTATAGCGTTTTGTGTAAATAAAATTACAACAAAATAAAGGAAACCTGGTGAATAAATAATAGTACATAAAAAAAATGATGACGACGTATTTGTTTCAAACTGCAACCGCTCTGCATCGAACCGTATTCCAAGGTAAAGGTCTAACATGTCAAAATAACATATTAAATAAATATCACAAATTACCAAAATCAACTTAATCCCCCTCTATAACAAGCGTAATGATCCTTGCCGTATGAAATAAAATCAACTGAATCCCCTTTTGTAGGAAACCTAATGATCCTAGACAATGAATTACAATTGAATGTTTAATTACGACTTTCATAATAATCCTTGATGTAATGTTTAATTGCGATTTTCATTATGATCCTTGATGTTTGGATTTGAACATTGGTGATTACACATAACTACCACAAATTATTGATACAATTAGAAATTGGTAAGGTTTCCCAATTAAAAAAAAAAATAAAAAAACAGGAAAATTGGATAATTAAAATTCATAAATGAAACGCCATCATTACCTCCCCTCGAGAATTGAGAGCATTAATTCCAAAGTTCATCACCGTATTCATTTTACTTCCATACTTCGTTGTAAGAGTAAAACACCTGTTCATTCCCCTTTAAAGCAGTCTAGAAAACCTAAAAAAACCTCGCCATGTGAATTCCGCTCCAAGGTATGTTCCTATGCATTTCGCCATTTACTTGTTTGGGACTCTTTAATTATGTTTCCTGCTTTTTCTCTGTAGTAATGTGTTATTTGTTTACTTAGTGGTTTTGTTGGTAGTTTCCTTTTTGCTGGTTTTTTTTTATTTCGTTCTGCATGTGTTGAACTCCAATTTTTTCCTTCTTATCAATAATGGTTTCTTGTTGTAGTGTGGAGTGTGGTGAACATGTGATCATGATCATGATTCTGCATTTGCTGTATTGTGTCTAGTACCCACTTGTTTTTGTGTTGTTGTTCCTCATGTCGCCATTAATGGGGTGAGTCTTTCCTGATTTATTACGACAACAATGGGGTGGAGGGGGAAGGGACTAATTTATTTGTATTTCCTATTTAAACTTAAAGAAGCGGAGGGATTGAAACTAATAATTTCGGGTTTATGAATTTTTACGGAGTATTGTTGGGGTTTTTTGTACCACTGTAGTAACGATGCAGCGACAATGTTCAGGGTGGTACATGAAATTGATGATGAAATTGTACTACTTTACTCACAGTGGTACAAAATTATTTGTTTTTCCTTTCTACCCAATTTATAAACCATTAATTTCGGGTTTATGATTTCTGTAAATTTATTTGGGCGATTTTTGTGGTACAAGTAATGGATGAGCACATTGTACCACTTTAGTCGTGATGGTACCAAAACCCCCCTGTTTCGTACCAATTTAAAAACATGGATTTATCCTTTCAATTTTGTCTTAGGGTTGTCGAAGAAGCTACCATGGGTGACCGGGACGTGACTGAGGTAAAAGGGCGTCTTGCAAAGTTGTACTTAGAGTTGGAAGAAATCAATACACGGGAGAAGATAAGGTTAGAAGAAATGGATAAGATGACAGCATTCATACAGCCAAGCTAGAAGAAGCGAGGGTTTTGTCGGGCCGTTTGCACCAGCTCCGTGAACAGCGAATTGCACGCCTTTAGAGTGAAATCCACGCAATCCATTCCACGCCAGGTTATGCGGTTGGAAATGACCAACCTGATGAGAGGATTATCGAGGAGGACAGGGGTGGTGATGTGGCAATATTTGTGGTGCTGATGCTGGTAATGGTGATGAGGACCAGAATCAAGAAGGGAATGAAGATGATGAGGACGAGGACTACGACGATGAAGATGTTGAGGACTACGACGCTGAAGATGAAGTTGATGAGGATGAGGAAGCGGCAGAAGATGAAGATGAAGATGATTAATATGGGGATGAGGACGGGGGTGAAGCTGCTGAAGATGATGAAGAAGATGATTCTAGGTCAATTCAGATGCTCAGGGGCGCACCTTCTAAGGGGCGGGTAGGGGTCTAGCCCCCTTAGAATTTGGCCCAAATTTTTTTTTATCGAGTAAATTTAAAGAAATGCCTATTATTTTTTGTAGGAAAGAAGGAAAGGAAGGCCCACTTAATTAGAATGTTTATTTTTATGTCAAACTCCAAACTTGTTTTAGTTCTTATTCATTTACTTGATTATTATATTTTATTTGGCACAAATTTCAGTGTCTATTATTTTAATTGATAGTTTCACACTACTTTCACAATATGTCACGTCATTGTATTTCTATGCATAGTGCCCAATATCTATCTAGACTTGTAAATACTAGAGTATTGTAGTACGAGATACAAGTACTCCTATTAGGCTTTTTTTTTTGGTATAAGTATTTGTTATTATCTATATAAAATTGTTTATTTTTTCATAATTAAAAAAAGTAAATGCTAATTATGTATATTATGCAAGTATTGATTTAACTTTTTTAAATTTGGGATAGTTAATAGCTCCTTTTTTTTTATCAATAAATACATTGCTTTAACTATTTATAATTTTTTAATTAATTATTAACAAAAGTTAAAGTTAAGAAGGTTATTAATTTATTAGTACTTGTTGACTATCTCTATATAAAGTTTAGATATTGGTTTGTAATTTGGCTCCTCATAAGAAAGTTGTGATGATCCGCCACTGCAGATGCTTACAGGCAGCGCAGTTTTTCATCGGAAAGGTTCAAAACCTAAGTATCACATCGGAAAGGTTTATAAGAGGTAATTTCCAAAAAGAATTAATCAAACCCTTATTTAATAAATATCCAAAGACCTATTCATCAAATATTTTGTTCCAATAATTTATTTACTGCCTTTCTTCTCTTCCAATATTCATCAAATATTCTGTTTTAACTTTTGAAGTTGTTTTTATCGGTTTATCCCCTTCTTTTTAATGGAGTTCATACCTTATTTTAATTCTTATTATATGTTTAAAGTTTTGATTCCAAATATTGTTAAGATAAGTTACATTGAAAATGATACTTGGCTATTAATTGATAATAGCATTGTACACATACGTTGGAATTGAACAATACAACTTGCATATTATCAGGCTTTGACGTCGATCAATCATAAAAAAAAGCGTACAACCTACTCCCAAGTCACAATCACAACTGATATGAACGACAACAAAATTATAGTATAACCTATAAATAAGACTACAATAGAAAATGGTCAAAACGTTGTTATAGTCCCCTTTTTGAATTCCGGCAAGGATGAAGGGTCAATACTTAATATGTATGGCCAATAGGTTCAATAGAATAATAACAAGTATACTAGAGTATGGCCAATTCTGCGCAAGTATAAAATTTCAAGTTCTCGAACGCAGTTTTCAAGGTGTAGTACATAAATCATCTATTCGGTGTCAAGGCTTTGAGATTCATTTCAAGGATTAAAAACGAGTTGCGTAAATACAACTGAAGTACAGAACATAAAATCAAGTTCGGCATAAAATTCAGTGTAAAGGCTTCGAGATTTAATTCCAGGCTTAAAAACAAGTAGCGTAACTGAAACTGAAGTAAAAGCGGTAAAGTTAAGCAAAACAGCAGGAAAACAGACAGATATTATTACGGAATTCGGCAAAAAAAACCTACGGCTCCGACTTGGATTGTTCAAGCAGTAGGATTTTAGACATTTCTTATTTCTTCCTTTAGAGCCCTAAAGCACTTACAAGATCACCTCTCTTCTACCCGTAATCACCCCATTATACTTTTGAAACATTTAGGAAAAGAATTCAAAATAGAAATTAAAAAAATGCCATGGAGGAACAACGATAATTTGCGTGACTGTGGTCCATGATCGACCTGCAAGCAGTCAATCATGCAATGCATACCTTCCAACCAATCGGCCAATCACGCTATCCTTGCCTTGATTCCGCTTCTGCAGCAGTATAAAATCTCGGTCCCTTACCTTGATGCCTACAGCTCAACTTCTTTTCTAGTGATGTCAAGAATCTGCAAAATACTGCTTTTTCTTTTTCTTCTTCTTGGTCTCTTCTTTCTAAATGGCATCACGGCTACACGACACGAATGCCCACTTCGCCGAAAAAGGGGGCCGCTTTCTTCCCCCCAAAAATGCCAGTTCCACCATCAGGGCCCAGCAAGCAGCATAATTCTGTTGTGGAGCGGTCCTTCATTCCAGCAACAGTAGTCTATGGTTCAAACCGCCTTGTTCCATCCGACACGAATCCCCTCCATCAATAAGACGCGCTCCGGCATTCGAGCCTCCGCTTGCTCCCCTTATATGTGGACTTATTTCAAAAACTTTTAGTTGCAAGTGATAATCAATCAAATAATTAAACCATGTCAAATAGATAGTAAGGCCACATATTCACATCAGAGCATTGCAAGTTAGACCTTAATGATAAAATTCTACCTCACAAGGGCGGATCTTCTAAGGGGGTGGCCTGGGCTTGGCCCCTCTTAGAATTTGATCCAACTTTTTATTAGGAAGCAAATTAAAAAAAAATCCCAATTTGTATCCCATTAGACTTAAAATTTAGAAACACCTTATGTACCATGTAGTATTCCTCTATATGTTTTTACTTGGCACAAATTCCTATGTGAGTTTGACATATGACAAATTGGCCCATCTTTCACTACATAAATCATAAATGGCAGTATTATTGGCAGTCAAGTACAAATTTTTTAATTTTATTTCAAAAAAAAAAAAAAAACTTTATTCTACATAAACAATAATACAGTATTACGTTATTCATTTTTAAAGTATTAGGCAATTAGCAATGATATTTAATTATTTAGGTACTATACTTGCTATTTATGATTTTTTTTTTATTAATAGCTACTTTTAAAAAATAAGATTAAACTATTTTACATTGTTATTAGTATCTACTATGGTTTAAATTTAGAAATTAAACTTTACTTCGGCCCCCAAAAGAAAATTGTCAAGATCCACCACTGTACCTCACCGGGTACTTATAAATATAACATTCTCTTTCTTCTGGTCTCACAAACTTTCCAATTTCACCCTCTCTAAAACCACCTTAACTTCCTCGCGCATGATAGGTGTTTCCAGGATAATGACGCTGTAAGCCACCTTAAGAAATCCCTCGAGAGATACTGCTGAGTGGAGGAGCCAAACGAGTCAAATTGGGGGGACGGATTATGGATATCATATAATTTGACAAAAATCACAACCAAAAACAATAAAACCAAAAAAACAATCCAAATACAGTAGTAGGTCAAAACTTAAATTTAAAATCTAAAAATAAAAAAATTAGTCGAACAATTCAAAGTGAAATATTAAACTAAAATAACATTTGCATCCTTCTAGTTTTTAATTATTCAAAGCCTACCGAAAACAAGCTAAACCAATACACTAGATTTGTTAAAAACATACCAAAGAATATGGCAAAATAAGATTTTCTATTCTAATTTACTCAATTAGAAAAAAGCATTAAAAAAGTAGACCACCATCCTTATAAAAATGCCGAGGAAATCAAATTTCCAAATTAAAAAAGTAATCCAACACATTTTCCAATCCTAGAAAAATTAGATAAGCTCTCACTTTCTCTCTCTTCCTGACTCTAATTTTCTTGCTTTGGCTCTCTTGTTCAATGGCGGCATCAACAACATTAACAATTTAGAAGAATCTCAATTAAAAAACAAGACATTTTACTCAACTTTTTTTGGGGTTAGGTTTGCAGTTTTCATGTGATACCAAATAACGCAATGTTATTAAATTTATAATAAAAAAAATTAGTCACCCAACGTCACTTTATTAGCCCCGCCAGTGATTGCGGACTATAGACGATTGAAATTTGCAGGAACAGTTATACCAGCACCCTTAAAAAGGGCTACATCTTCACCGTTTTGATTGTCAAGGGCGATGTTATAACTGTTCTGGCATATTTCAATTATCTGCAGCGTCAGTATCTGTCGAGGGATTTCTTAAGGTGGCGAATAGCGTCACTATGGAGAAAAACCAACCATAAGTTTGGAAGGTCGTTTTAGAGAGGGAGAAATTGGAAGGTTTGGGAGAGAAAAACGAAATAATTCAGGAACTTTGAGGTGGAGATGAAGGTGAAATAAGTGGAGTTAGAAAACGGGGAACTTAAATAATGGATGAAGTGACGGTTTAAGAGGAGGGAGAAGGTGAAAATGTGGAGTGAAGAGTTGTGATTTGACGATTCAATGGGTGGAGGCATAGGTACCGCTAATGGATGAAAACGAGAAGCTTAAATAATGGATGAAGTGACGGTTTAAGAGGAGTAAAAAGGTGAAAATGTGGAGTGAAGAGTTGTGATTTGACAATTCAATGGGTGAAGGCATAAGTACCGCTAATTTCCTATACTTGGCAATAAGAACATATGCATGTATTTGGCAATAGGTACGCGGGAAGCGCGGGAAACAAGGTTAATAAATCCTTAAATATCGTAATGGTTTTATCAGATACAATTTTAATTACTGCCATTTTCTTGTTCCAATATTCATTGGAAAGTTTAAACAAGGTTAATAATTATTTCAGTTATTTCCAAAAAGTATTTAACAAAACCTTATTATCACAACGGAAAGGTTTATAAGAGGTAATTTCCAAAAAGAATTTTTAAAACCCTTATTTAATAAATATTCAAAGACATATTCATCAAATATTTTACTCGAATGTTTTATTTACTACCATTTTTCGTTCCAATATTCATCAAATATTCTGTTTTAACTTTTGAAATTGTTTTTTGTCCCCATCTTTATAATGGAGTTCATACCTTATTTTATTATAGGTTTAAAGTTTTGATTTCAGTTGTTGTTACTTGTCACGATAAGTTTCATTGAAAATAATACTTGACTATTAATTGTACTTGATTTTGACTATTACAATTACTTAAGTGTTGTTGTCAAACAAATAAACAAATAAAATAGAATTATTTAATCAGTGGTGTTTGAGTATTAATTTAGGATTCAATCGTTTTAGTCAAAATAGATTGAGGAATATTATTAAACTTTAATTGTATTCAGTCTAAATTAGGTCAAGCATGTGTACACATAATTAAAATACTTCGACAACACAGTTCATTGTTATTCGTATTTGATTGTATATAAATACGGATACTAACATACTAATCATAATTTCTAAATCTAAAAGATGAACAGTTACCTCCAATGTCATACTGTAGATAAGTTTAGCGTCACATAACTGATTTGAAAACATAATTGGGTATTAATGGCACTTCAACGAAATATATCATATAATCCAACTAGTTAACACCAAATAAACCACAACATGTACCCACACGGAGCATTACATCACGGATCATAGTTAAAAACATAATGAGACATCCATACGCAAAGGATCATTAGACATCCTACAAAAGGGAAGTTGATTTTCGTTCACAAACACAAACACGTAAGGGTTCCACATGCCCTATTTGTCTGTGAAGCAAAAGATTTCATCGCCATTCCTCATGGCCGCACCACTAACATCCATTAATGACGAGACCTCCTTGTTCTCGTGAATCATGAGGATTTTACTTGGGCACACATTCACCTCCTCACTCCAAGCTCGAAACAGGCCGTCTAGAGAATCAACCAGATTGACTAATACCTTCTTCTTAACTACACGTGTTCGAAACTCTCGGAGATAGACTAGCTTCTTACGAACATCCATGTTGGCCTCAGGGTCCTACGTAATTACGAAATTCAGCTTCATTTATGTCACTAAGTTAAACACATAAATACTGGAGTTTTATTTCAACAACTAAAACGTATTTTAATTAACGGGTTAAATTAGTATTGTTAACACACAAATTAAACGAAATGAATAGCTGTATAATTGACTAAGTGTAATACTCCGAAACAATCCACTGTACTTATTCCACTATACGAATATGCGGTACTTAAATTGAACGACAATAACCACTTAAAAAAACAGGATGTTAAATTTAGCTGTAACAGCAAACGACAGTCACAATGCAAATTTCACTAAAATTTAACGTATAGTCAACGTTTTTTTTTTTGGACGACCTAATCTCAAGACGAATGAAATAACACTAATGTTAACAACTATATTTTGTGGACATAAAAGTCATCGAATTTCATCAGAAAACAGTTTTCTCCATTAACCAAATTACCCACACATAAACAACGAACCTCAACCTATGTATAAGTCTATAACTACAGTATTTACTAAAAGACACACCATCAATGACACGTGTCATTTTCTGGTGTGTCCCTTAGTTATTTTATTATATTAAATATATAAATAGGAAAGAATTACTACGTATTATACCAAAATAAAATGTTGCAAAACAGTTTCCTAAAAAAAAAAAAGATTAGAAAATATTTAGTGTATCCTTCCAAATAATAATTGATATCATAAACTTCTTAACTTAATTTAAGACATATGTAAGGTTATGTACTAGTTTACAATTAATAACAACAAGGACTTTTTTTGAAAAACCAGACTCTTGTATTTAATTATGTATGAAAAGCTTGCCAGGAAAGATGTGAAAAAATATTTTTAAGTTAGTTGATTATTGAGAAAAAAAAATGCAACATACATAACAGAGAATGAATAATAGTTTGCAAAAAATAAATCTATTTATTAGTTAAATACATATTGTTAAGAATTTCATTTGATTAAAAAACACAACGCTTTTAATTTGTTGGTAAAATTTTGTAATAATTAAATATAATGTTAATTAAAGAGTAGTATTACGGTGCGTGGCACGGGACCTAACCTAGTTAAAGATAAATGACAGACTTCAAACTACGGAAGGATAAGAATCGAACCTTGCTCCGAACCCACAGGACATCCCCTCTCACAATCCCACCCAACGCTGGACTGTTATTGGACTGAACGATGCCGCGAGCGTTCACAATAGTAATATCAGCCAAGTGACAGTCTACCCTCCTAGCATAGTCGTAGTAAATAATCTTGAAAGATTCATTGATCTTCAGTTCATACTCGAGGTCGGGATCGTCGTCATTTAGGCTTCGAACCCTGAATCAGATCTTTGGAATTAAGTTGTCGGGAGTTAGATGACAAACCCTTGCTTGCTAAGCTGCAGACCGACGATTCGCAGAAGGTTGTATAGGCCCTGACATTGCATTGGCAAGTGCCAGGATAACCACATTATCGACGTCGTCATCTTCTACCCAAACGGAGTCCTCACCTAGAATGTCAATAACTTGCTGAACAGCAATACCTTCACAAGCAACGCCGAATTTTCCTCAACAGGACCAACGAC